TTAGGGTTTAGGGTTAAGGAATTCAGTTTGAGATAAGAATAATAGGGATCTAGAGCTAGAGTACATCTACTATGGTTTCCTTACTGTAACTTAAGTGAAACGCCTGAAAAGGAACCCGACTGTTTTTCACGGGGGGCCTCAAGAAGGCTATAGGGCGGTGTTCAATAAGGCTGCTGGCTTTCTGAAAGAATGTGTTTCATGAGGGCTGTCGATCAGGTTATCCGGGCTGCTTGAAGAGATTGTGAGCGATGTTTTCGCAGAGAATCGGCTATCTTGTGAGATTTGGCTTGGTGCTCAGCGCTTCCGTGGCTTTAAGGTTTAAGTTTCCATGTTTCTTCGCCTCGCCTGTCCCACGAGGAGGTTCACGGTCATCACGGTGGCACACTGGAGGCAGTCTGCCTTTAGCTTCAGTGAGCCGTGAAGCGGGCCTTTCTTGATCATCTGGGTGTAGAGGCCTTTGCGCTCACCTCGGCCATGGATTCAGGAAAGGGCTGCAAAGAGCTGCTTGATGCGTTGTTGTTTAAGGGGGTTTCTATGGGGCGTCAAGACACCTAAGTCAGCTTGCCACAATCAGGAGAACATCTTCTCCTGCACACAAAACGAAACCCTACACCCTCCTAAACCCGAATCAATGGCTCTGGTGAGTTAAGTGAGGGCTCCTGAAGAAAAGCTCAGTCACTGCTCCGGGCATTCTTCATGGTCTCCCGTCCATCGGGGAACACCTAGGTTGGAGGGGCCTTAATCATTAGAATAGGGTTTTGGAGTATCGTATACCAGTTGCACTAAGGAACCCACCAAGGAATGGTGCAGCATTAGTGAGGATGCCCTTTTTCGTTTCAAGCTTCAGAGAGGAAGAAACCCTTCAAAACAAATAATGCAGAAGGCTACCAAAAGGGGGGGCCTTCGGCCTAGACGCCATTAGACGAAGATTTGGTAGGCCAAGAGCTGCGAAGGGAGGTGAAACCAGTGGCCTTCCCATGCTGGCTTGGAGCTTTCCATTGAGGTCGTCAATTCTCCACTCAACGCGTGTGCACATGGAGCCGGCATAGTCAACGCCAAAGATCTTGATGCCAGGTGGCAAGTCTAGTTCGGTTGCAACGGGCACTACGGATTTTGCCACCCTAGGGCCTGCGAGTGATTGCTCGGCTGCTAGCCCGGGGGGCGGCTGAAAGCGCTTGGGGGCTTCTTCTTGCCATGGGGTGGGGTCAACGGTGGCAAACTGCTCGATCATCGTGGAAAGGTGTGGGGGCAACTCCAAGGGCTCGTCGCCCGCAAGTGGTTTGTCGTACTTGTTGATGATGGGTTCTGGTAGAGGGACTCGGAGCGGCGAGGCCCACGACGAGGCGGGCATCGCGCGCATCGGCGAGGGCGCCGGCATCGCCTCTGGGAGGTGTTGGGGAAGTTGGGGCATTGGCCACTGGGAGCTCATGGAAGTGGTCTCGTTCCACGGTCTCGGCTCGGCGTCCTCGCTCCACGCGTGGGCGTAGCCGGTGGGACCACCCGGTGCCGCTAACTGGGCATCTAGCCCTGAGAGGTACATCTTCTTCGTGTCACCACTCCACTCCTCGGCATACCGGACTTGAGAGATGGAGGCATGCAGGAAGCTCCCGAGCCGCGGCAGACTCGTGCGAACCCACCGGCCCAGCAAAAACAGCACGTAGCCCAAGCCCTGCAGCCTCACACAAATCTCCACTGATCACAGCTTTGAAGCCTGAAGCACGCAATTAGAGTATCGAAACCACACACAACAACACCAAGAAGAAGAAGAAGAAATAGAATCAATCAAAACTACACAACCATAACGAATACATAAACACGACGACGAGAACGACGACGACGCGAGGGCAGAAGGAGGAGGAGGAGGAGGAGGCTTAGGAGATGCTGGGCGCCGACACGACAGCCGCCGCCACCACCACCACCACCACCACCACCACCAGCAACGTCAAGACCACTCTCAACGGCCACTTCTCTGGTGTTGCCTCCAGCACCACGGTCACCAACCAAGCACAGGCACCGACGACAAGTAGAACAGCAGCACAAACATCAATTCACCGAAACACGAAGACAGAAAGAGCAAACAACTAAGACTAAGACGACCAAAACGAACAAGCATCAACGATTGCCAAAAGAGTGCGAAGTACAGGATCGTGACAGCCAGGCACGAAAAAAATGACATCAACAAAGGTTCAGCAACAGCACAAGCACCCCCAGCTGCTGGTAGTGCACCTCAGCATCATCCTGATGAGCAAGTAGGCTCCCTGAACCCAAATCCCCAAGCCCAACGTCTCAAACCCTAAATCCGACTTTCCAAACCCTAGACCATGAATTGTAGGATGGACAGATGGACAGCCTCGCACACACAAGGGATGACAGTGTGAAATCAAAAAACAAAAAAGCTCACGTCACACAAGCCCGAACGACAGCACCAACAAGAACACTGACAGAACCACCCAACGAGCTGAAACCCAAAAAGCAACCAGCAACAGCCAAAACCGGCAGACACACACTCTCTCTCTCTCTCTCTCTCTCTCTCGCTCTCTCTATGTATGTAATATGTGTATATGTATATATATATATATACACAGTATATATAAACAAAGGCTCATAGAAGAGTCACCACAAGAAGAAGAAGCAGAAGCAGAAGAAGAAGAAGAACGGTCGAATCTGAGGCCGGGTCCGACCATCCCTCCGGGTTTCCGGCGAGGGACTCGGAGATGGAGATGGTGAGCATCTCGTCCTCTTCTTAGCCAACACGAGGGCTCAGGGTTTGGGGCTCCGGGTTTTGGGGTTGAGGGTTTAGGGCAGTTCCGAGCGGGTTCCGGCAAAATAGCTGCATAAGCGGTTCATACAAGCTTCGTCCTGATCTTGGAGCTTCCTGGCACTAAGGTTCAGAGCTTCAGGGTTTACGGTTTAGGGCCTTGGGAGGTTGGAGGGTTCTGGCTTCGGCGTTTCGGGTTTGGGGCTCTCCTCCAAGGCTTAGGGGGCTCAGCGAGTGCTTTCTTGGGGGGATCTTCGGAGGTTTCGTAGTAGGGTTTCTTGAGAGCCCCAAAGCGTGTGTGGGTTGAAAACTGGGATTTAAGGGCTCATGTAAGGGCCCCGAATTCAGGCACCCCTGCCTGTCGAACAACAGCTCTCTAGGAACCAGTAAGCAACGCTTGTCACCTGTCACCACAGTCACTCGAGAAGGACCCAGAAGCAATGACACCTCATGATTAGGGTTTAGTGTAGGGTGTAGGGCACCCTCCCTAAACCCAAAGCCCTCAAGCAACTCTAATTTCAAGACACCTCCAAAAGGCTCGCAAGTGACGATCTGCAGACCTGATGCCAAATCCTCCAAGTACACATAATTAGAATTCTTATAATCGTTATCAAACACTGTGGGGTAGGGCATAGCGGGTTTTAGGGCTCAGGGGCTAGGGTTTGGGGGGCTGGGGTTTTAAGGCTTAAGCTTAGGATGTTGAACGTCTTGGGGTTCAGGTCTGGGGGGTGAAGATTCAAGGTTTGGGGTCGGTGTTTAGGGTTTCCAAAGTTTAGGGGTTTGTAATTCAGGGTTTGGAGGGGTTGACGGCTTCAGGCCCTAGGGTTTGATGGCATTGATGTTGACGTTCTGGCCTCTGGTGAGCTATGGCTACTGTTTGATTGTCTAGGTTCATTCATAGGATTGAACCCTGAAAGCGCAAGACCAGCCGTCCTTCGTGCGGCCCGTTTTGTTCTGCCCCGTCTTCGGGGCCCGGGGAAAGACTACAGGTCTTTGCAGTGATCCCACGCTGCAGCAAGCATCAAGGGTAGCCGGCAATGCATGCAACAGCGATGCACAGCACTGTTGCGGGGATCAGGGCCATTAAAGGTTTGGGATGGTAGGATGTGTAGATGTTTACGACTCACGGCGATCCCACGCCTCCCTAGGCAAACCTAACTGCGGGAAGCCTTGCGTCTCCTCAGAGAGCAGCCATGGCTTCAATCTCTAGGTCCTCCAGGTTCAGCAAGAGGTGTGGGAGGCGGCGACTACGTGCGGTTGAGTAAAATGCGCTGTCCGATAACGAGAAACACGACCCCTGCTGCTGCACTGCCACCGCTCTTGCTGCCGCAACTACTACCACCACCACCACCACCACCACTACTGCTGCTGCCGCTGCTACAACGACTACCACTACCAAAAACCTAACACTGACAATAATCATCTTCATCATCATCATCATCGTCATCATCGTCATCATAACACGTCATCATAACACGTCAACACGACCACTCCACGACAACGAAGACGACGACGACGACGACCACGACGACGACGACGACGACGACTACGACGACGAGTCTTACTTGGTCCTGCTCCTGTTCTTGCTAGCACCATGGTTGTGCGCTTCCGCTACTTTGAGTAGAATGGTAGTGGTGGTGATGCTGGCTTCCTACTCGTGTGTGATTGCACTGAGCCTGAGCCGCGCGGCTGCGGCATCGACATCTGGCAGGGTGGCTTACCGATCCCGAAATCAACCAAACAGCAAAGACCCCGCTTCGAAGCAACTCATCTGAGCGATACGAGAATAATCGGGATGTGGGGATGTGGATAGTGAGCCGAAGAGTTTGGGGGGGGGTGTCGTACTAAAGGCGCACTCTGGCGACATGTTGCCGCAATTACGTAGGGGGAGGGCATCTCTAAAGTGATATAGTCTTTTGGCATTCCCCAGTATAGAGAACTGCAGGCCTAAACCTTAAATCCTAAATCCTACATCCGTAAACCCCATGTCATTCTTTTTTGTCCAGGTCCAGCCGAGAAAGACGATCCAAACCTCAGCAATTGTTGCACGTGGGGGATCGGATCGGAGTAACTGTGTATAGCGTTTAGCCATAGCTCTGGCGGCAGTAGCAGCAGCAGAAGAAGTAGCAATGATGCACGGCAACCCCAAACTCTAAAAAACTCTAACCCTAAACACCTAATAAAGCCCCAAACACAACCTCAAACCCCTAAACCATTTCATAAAACCTTCAACAGCCTTTCAAAACCCGAAACCCTGTCAAATGGAGAACCCGTCAAAATCATGTCATCCCTTACAAGACCTCGGGCCCCTGGCGGTTCCAGAGTTCCTCGTCGCTCAAGGGCCCGGTCCAGTTTCCGGGAGGCCGAGTGGGCGACGCGGCCTCCAGACTGTTTTTTTTCTGGGGGCCTGCTGGGGTTTCGAGTTTAGGGTGAATTAGGGTGTTTGTTTCGGGGTTTCTAAGGGATCTGCGAAAGAGTTGTTATCGGGTTCTATATGATTTAGACTTGTCTGGGGCTTGATTACAGGGTGTATAAGGACTTAGAAGGTTACCCAACTCTGTATCTGTATCTAGACATACTAATCTATATCTATACCTATACATACCTGTAGGACCTATACTTATCGCTATCTCTCTATCGGTATCTATACTTACATGCACACATATGCACTGCATAGACACACACATATATATATAACACATATAACACATATAACACATATAGATACTATATGATTATACATATATATATATACACGGTGTGTAGACAGAGAAGATCCGATTGGTCAGAAGCATTCCTCACCCAACGGCCCGAGACCTCTTCTAAATCTGGGTGTTGACTCTAGAACAACAGAGAACGAGTATATAGGGACCTTACTTACACAAGTATTTTGGGGGTTGTATAGTTTTGTCGGGACGGTAAGGGGATACCACTACTGACCCGTGCCTTGCCCGCGTCGTTCTGCCGCCTTCTGGGCAGGGCTTCCTGCGCTGGTGCGGGCTCGCGGGTGTCACCTGCACCACTGCGCGGCCTTGGCGATGCACTGACAAAGGATATGGGGCGTAGCAGGCAACATGGCAGGCTGAAAGACCCCTCCCCACAAACACCGCGGACAGCTGCAATGCCCATCCTGAGTGCCCGGCAAGGGCGAGCGCTGCTTGTGTCTTCGTGGACTTCGACGTCGGTCGGCACTTCTGCTGACGTCTTTGCGGTGGCGCTTCCGGCTGTCGTGTCGCTTGCGGTCGCGGTGCCGCACGGCTCGGTGAGCATCGGCGCTGTGGCTTCGCCTGTCATGTCGTAGCTTAGTCAGTCTTCTATGTATGTCAGGATCAGGACTTTCCGGCGTATCGGCTTACCTATCGGCGAGCATCAGTGTAACGACTTTAAAGCAGAGTCCGTTCGGGAACGACAAACACACGAGGTATCTAGACAACGCCGGGGCTGATCCATTAAGAAGAGTTGTCTAGACCGCCTTTGTATAGGAACATCGTTCCAGAAGGTATCTTGAGCGACGTCGTCTCGTCTCTTCCAAATTACAGTAGGAAACCTCTCATCAGGATAACGCAGTAACAAACACTTGAACTATGAACCCCAAAACCCTGGAAGTCTCCACACCCTACAACCCAACCCAAACCCCCAAAACCCCAAACCTGCAAACTCAAAACCGAAACGAGGGAGCTGCTAAACCCTAAACCCCTAAATCCCTTATTTCTAAACGAGGAAGACAGAGATTCCCAAACCCTAGAACTGTGGACCCGAACCCACTTGTGTGTGTGTGTGTGTTTGTTTTTGTGTGTTTTTGTGTGTTTTTGTG